AAACCTTGTGATAAGAGATTCCTATCGATTCTTGAAAAATCTTCCACCTAGTCGGACTATAGCTAAAGAATACGTAAAATGTGTGGATGTTACCAAAACAATTCTTGATCTCAATATACACACGCACGTACCCAAGCTAAATTAACTAGGAATATAAAGAGCTATTGGAATAATCTGTAAAATAAGATTTTGACTCCTATATAAATTCCACCAATATTTGAGCCTTTGTTGTAATCTTTGCCACTGCGTTTTAGAAAATCAAGCCTTATGTTTATTAACACCTCACAAACCAGCTTGGCAATATCTATTACCTTTTTTCATCCATGTCTTCAACACAAAAAAGTAATTCTTTTACCTCCAAGATTTTTTTGTTGAAAATAAAGTGCAAAAACCAAAAAGTAATTTGAAATAGTTTCCAATTTGCTTTCTCTAGAGCAGAGGTTTGACATGTTGCAATAATAATACAAGAAACGGTAAAATAATGGATTGTTGGTACAATAAAAAAAAAATTATAAAAAAAAAAAATAGTTTTTTTATTTTGTGATGGGAGAAACAAAGTTGAATCTAGAATACAGCGCAATATTTCACGCCGCTGTTCGACCTCAGATTTTTACTTTCATCGCAAAGAGTTATCAACAAAGTCTTCTCTGTTCTATTTAGCTTTCGTTGAATTATTTGACACTCTAATACGCTTCCACCTAAATAATATATACGAGTTACATAATATTATGTGAATAAACTTTTATCCACAGTAGATTTTGTTAAATAAACTATTTTTTCTAGAGACCTAGGGAAGTTCCTAATTACTTGTTCTCTCATCATAATTGACAACGTTAATTTTAGCAATACTACCTTTCCAAAAAAGAGTATTATATTAAATTGGGGTTTAACAAACCTTTATCAAAATTAATTGTTTACAAAAACAAACTCATTGCAAATGTCATCGTGAAGTGCACCTTTATGCCATTGATAAATACATTTGATCTCAGACAAAGAATATGTATTTTTACAAACTATACTCAAGCTTTTGTTAGCACTATTTTTTTCTAATTTATCATAAAAACATTATAATGATTTTATGCTTTGTTGTAAGTTGTCCTCATTACGTCGTAATATGACGTCACTTTTTCTCTCATAAGTTATTTGCTCTGTGGTATTTATTCTTGAAATTGGTATAATACTAAAATCAATATCTTTATCATCACCAAATAAACATAATACTTATCAGTCTGATGGCAAATGTTTTTGCAGTACAAATGTTTTTCCATACAAAATTTTATTTTTAAAATTGTAATAATATAATAATACTTATCTATCAAAAATATAATAATACTTATCTATCAAAAAATTGTTATTCAAGAAAAAACTGAAGTAAAAAAAGTTATAAATAAAATAACTGAGTAGACTTTTTAAAAATGTAAAACACATAAAAAAAAAAGAAAAAAATAACAGTTTTTTTTATTTTAAAATTATTATTATTAAATATGTAAAAATCACGGAACATAACAAAAGTCCAACGTTCTAATATTTTGTTGTCGTTTGGCAACAGCGCTTATTTTTGTTGTCTATACTCTAAGCTAGTTTAACACTAGTATAGAGTATAGACTATAGAAAAATCACATAAAATATACTTTTTAATATATTGTAGCACTTTAATAAACTTTTCTTTGTCTTCTGACATATGTTCCATTTGCACCCCACCCCCTCAGCGGCAAAAGGAGTATACGAACATACATATTATAAATTGTATAATGTATTACAAGTTCAGTTAGAGCACTACATTCAAAATGTCAAACAAAAGTTCTATTGCAACCAAAAATAAAAAGAGACGAATGATAAAAGAATTTGATTCACTTTAAAAAAAGTAAAAGATTACATAAGAATGAGTCTCAAGAATCATAAGGAAAAATATGTATAATGCTAATATACTGGCTAATAATATAGCCTGGCATCAAAGTGTAAAAATCTGAAAGGAAAAATAGAGAAAGTATTAGATGAATGTTTAGAATGCGTACATTCTAAAATTTTAAATTTTCCAACAATAGACAAAGGATCAGTGCCTAGGATAATATAAAAATTGATTAAAAAGAGACAAATAGAAATCAAAAAAGCAGGTATTTATAATTTTGATGGTATATTTGATAAAATAAATGAGAATGAGTTTTGGTTGCATTCTGAAAATAACAATCTTTTTTTTTCTTCTATAGTTTTACCATTAAACATAGAAGCGAGGTCGCAATTTTTTGCTGACCTCAGGTCGCAGTTAATTCCGAGGGCTGAATTAGTTAAACGAAAAGCTGCCACAGTGTTTCAATAACTTCAGATGGCTGGTTTTAATTTTCCAACAACAACTTAACGAGCAATCTACATTGCAGTCATCAGTGAATTTAAAAAGTTACAAGATAAATTGAGAAAGGAACTAAAGGTCAAGAATTAGTGTTTCTCATTTTGATGAGAAAAAATAGATGGAGTAAAACATCAGTAGTGAAGAACGACAGAAGAGAGGTTAGGCTAAAATCAATGGTATTGAAGACCGGAAAATTGGAGACAATTTTTGAATGGAAAGGACTTTGAATGAAAGTACTTTGAATGAAAGGACTTTAAATGAAAAAACTTTGAATGAAAGGACTTTGAATGAAAGGAAATAATTTTTTTGAATGTGATTTTTGGAGATCTATTAAAATGATCATGGTAGACACTACAAACGTTAACACTGGGGTAACAAAAGTGTTTACTTTGAGAAACCTCTCTATGCTGTTTGTTAGCACCATATATTAGACCGAATATTAAAGTTATGTCTGGGTAATGTATATATATATATATATATAAATTTGGAAATTTTATATATTTAGAGGTAATACCAATTCACTTGATCGGTCATATTAATCTGTTGAAGCAGTACGTAGTAAATATGACTATTTAACATCAAACTTTTGGCATACATTAATGGCATCAAACATTAATTGCATACAATTAAAGGTGAATGAACTTAAATGGAGAGATGACATACAATTTTTGATGCATCTCATTAACGCAGTGAAATACTTTTGGAATGAAAAAAAAATTCCCAAGGTTAACTTTAAAATTTAACCAAATATTAGCCATGCTAGATGGAAATAAAATTTAACCAAATATTAGCCATGCTCCCGGGCAATTTATTTATTACCTGCTTATATACTAATTGTATGCTTACATACTAATTGTATGCTTAGCATACTCAAATCTTTTTTTTACCGTATATAATTTTTATATGCGGTAAAAAAAATTTGGGTGTGCAAAGCCATTAATGAAAGAAATAAAAATGATAAATGTATGATGAAGTTTTAAAAATCTTTGTGTCTAATCATTTAAAAAATCTCACACGAAAAAACATTCAAGCAAAGTTTAAAATAAAATGAAACAAGAACTTTTTTCTGAGATAAGTTAGCTATAAATAAAGAATGCAGCATAATATATCAAGGGTTTAAGGTATAGCACAGCTTTAAAATTAACTATTCCTATATGGTGAAATGAGTATATACATTTAAATTTAAAATAAAAAGCAAAAATTTTAAAATAAATAAAAGCTTTAATATATTTCATAAATACACTATTTTAAAAAACCTAAATTTCTGATACATTTATGGATTTATTCCAATAATTGTCTTTTATTTTTTATCTCTAACGGAGATTTTTTTTTTTCATATTTTAACGGAAATTTTTTTTTTCATATTTTAACAATTTTTATGTAATTTTATGTAATTTTAATAAAAATTTTTATCTTACTTGAAAATCAATGTGGTGAGTTTCAAAACTGTTTATTTGAATAAATTGACTTGAGTTTAAATCTTGAATAAAGTTTTTTTTTAAATCTTTAAGTGCTACGCAGTGTGCTACAAACGGTTTCTAAGTAGAACGTTTATTAAATAATGGTGTCCCGGGTACCCGACGAGCTTTTTAGGTGTGCTGGTTTACCTTGCATTTATTGGAGGTGCCTGGTAATTTTTGAGGTGCTCGGTAATTTTTAAAGGTGCCTTACAACCCAGAAACAGAAAAAGAGGTCTCGGCCGCCTGAAAACCCCCTCGGTGTACTGGCATACATACATAAATTACAGGGTACCCATCATCTTCCAGGATTGCCAAGCATTTGAAAAATATAAAAAGCTCTTTCAGAGGGGTAGCCAGGCATCTCCAAATATTAGCAAGCAACTCTAAAAATTACCAGGTACATTTATTCATCTTTTATACTACAACGTCCAAAAATAAACATAACATTAAATAACTAAATTAAACTGTATTTTTTAGACCATGGAAAAAGTAAAAATCATTTTTTAAATTGTAATAATAATGTCCTCAAACCAGATACATGGGGCACTATGGTTAATACGAGAGCATACTACAAATTCTTCGCTTTTATTTACCACGTTCGTTTGAATTAAAATTTTAAATAACATTTTGACACCAAGTAGTTTTTTTTCAAAATAGTATACTTCTTGTATTATTGTTTTGTCAGTATGTTTATTTTCTCATAAATATTCATTACCTACATGAATTTTCAGTTTGCAAGTAGAATAATTTGTAATAAAAATAAGAATACTATTTTGAAAGTCATATACTTCAAATGACTTTACTATGCGTTTTCTATCTCCAACTTTATAAAATTTTAAAAGATATCAACAAAAATACTAAATTAAAGTATTGCAAAGCAAACACACTAAAAGAGCTAAAAAGTCACTAAAAATGTTACACCTTTAGAACACCACCCATTACACCTGTAGAACACCACCCATTAGCGATAAACCTAACCAAAAAATATTTTTTTTTAAACGTAAAAAAAAAAGTTTATGCTTATTTTAAAACACATACCAGATACATTGTTTATTTCCATCTATTTTTAACTTTTTTTGTTAAGTTGTTATAAAAAATCATCTTACTCTATTTTTTCTACTTGAATATTTTGATGATTTGTGATTTTATTGCGATTTCTGATTATTATGTGTGTTTAAAAAAAAACATTTTACCTATAGTGCAGTTACACACGTGTTGCCGCCGATTTCTTGCAGCACATGATGAAATGCAACTACAATTTCCACAAGGATTTGGGTTCAAACTGCAGCTTCGAGAACAGCTTGGCTAAAAAATAAATATAAAAAAATTCAAGCTCGTCATTACATTATAATTGTTAAAATATTTTTTAAAACATACCGGTTTAGAAGAAACGTATATAAATCCTGCAGATTGTATAGTTTTTGTGGATTCGTTTTCGAAAAATCGACATCTTAATAAATTTTTATCTATTATCTCAGCATCTATCGATTTACAGTTTTTTTTGTTATAACAAGCAGTAATGCATTCGTTATAATTTGCGTGTACTTCAACCATACTTGTGATGTCATTTACTTTTCTATCTTTGTAAACAGTGTAAGAATACCGAGATGAAGTTTCCATTACTGGATAAATATATTCAGACGTGATGTTTTTAAGGCAGCAAATCAAAATAAAACAACGCAAAACAAAAACTTTGCTTGACATTTTTATATTATTACCTAAAGTTTTAATTATAAAATAATTAAGAAATACATCTAGAATCATTTATTTCTAGAACCTCAATGTAGTCAAGGACGGTTTTTTATGAAAAAAGTTATTATTTTTAAATCTCTACCGTATCGTTTATTTTTATAATGTTTATTAAATATAAAAATGTTTTTTTTTTTTTTTTTAATTTCTTTTCGCTACCTCAATTTTTAATGAAAAATGTTTTTACAATTGTAGAATAAAAATAATAATTTCGATTTGCAATGAGTGAGATCTTTTAAACTTTTAAATAAACTATTCAAGGTTGATGTATAACAAAAATAATCGCATAAAATGGTAGAAGAAAATCATAAAAATCAAGACATTTTTATATTAAACATTATTTTGACTCTTGTAACTATTGTTTAACATAAGTTGCACGAACTTTGCAACGCTTAGTAAGTTAAAACATTTTCTTCGTTAAGCGAAACAAACAAATAAAAATTTTACCTATATTTTTAAGAATCTATATTTAATTCTATTTTGATTAAATTCGTTGAAAAATTTGGAATAATTCGTTTATAACCTTGTAATATTGAAATTTTACTTTTTGATTTTTTTTATCGCCCTTAAAAATTGCGTATTTTATAGATCACTCCTTAGGTTCATCGAGAACTCAGAATGTTGAGTACCGTACACGTTATTATTACTAAAGATGAAAAAAATGTTTTTCCTCCTAACCACTTATTACGCTTTTTTATAAGTAAAAATCTTTTAAGATTTAATAAAAAATATTTTTGGACAAACTTTGAACTAAAAAATAAACGAAGAAAATAAAATTACAAAACGTACAGAATAAAAGTATTATATATATATATATATATATATATATATATATATATATATATATATATATATATATATATATATATATATATATATATATATATATATATATATATATATATATATATAGGGAAAAGCGGGGCAACATGAAGAACGTTTTAAAAGCCCTGAGTTATTGCAAAACTATCAGTCATGAAGCAATAATACATTTTCAGTATGTTTATGTTAAATGATTTATTGCCTGCATGAATTTTCAGTTTGTAAATATATCAATTTGAAATAAATATTAAAATAAAAAGTTCATAAATTTGTCATATGGTCACGTGACCAGGGCAAGATGACTTAGCAATTTTTGCCTCCAATTTTATAAAATTTTAGAAACTACCAACAACTCTGACTAAAGTAACGCAAAATAAACACACGTTGCAAAACTACTTCTAAAGAAGTTATACTTGAAGGACACCATCCATTATGAGAAAGCGAAGCCGAGGTTGTTTTTTTTAAGTGCAAAAGTAAACTTGTGCTCATAAAAATGCGTTAATAATATTTAAAAAATCCAATTAGTGTTTTAAAATACAAGATTCAAATACAGTTTTGTTTTCACACAGTTTTTAAGATTTTATATAATATATACAAATATATATATATATATATATATATATATATATATATATATATATATATATATATATATATATATATATATATATATATATATATATATATATATATATATATATATATATATATATATATTGTCGGGAATAGTGCAAAACCACCACTCATGTTTTTTTTTAATCTCAGCAATAAATATTTGGTATTGAAATTAATAATATTCAAATATAATAGCCAATGCTAGTTACGCGGATTTGCACAATCCACGACTATATATATATATATATATATATATATATATATATATATATATATATATATATATATATATATATATATATATATATATATATATATATATATATATATATATATATATATATATATATATATATATATATAACTATATATTTCTTTAATTTTTTTATTTTAAATAAAAATAAGCTTCAACGAAAGGTTTTTTCAAATTGAAAAATTCAGAGTTAAAATAAATTGATAAAATACTAACAAATAAATTTAAATTGTAAAAGTTATTTAATAATCAACTTATTTTTTTAAACTTCTTTACTCTCAAAACACAGGGTTATATAAAGATTTAGGGTGGAATGCAAGAAGCGAACTTGAGTCAAGCTCGACTTGAACTTTACATTACAACGAATAGCGACAGAGTATGGGTTTTCCCCTCAAAAAATACTCTGCCGCTATTGATTACAAAGTAAAGTTCAAGTCGAACTTGACTCAAGTTTGCTTCTTGCATTCCACCCTTATAGTTTATGATTTAACAATGACTATGCAATTGCAAATATTTTTGCAAAACTGTTGAGAAAGTACGTCACGAAACCCGTCAAAGAGGCAATTCATATATAAATGTCTTTGCCTATATATAATAAAACTAATATATGCTCTTATAAGTTAACTTTTCAATTCAATAGTTATTCAACATATTTTGTTAATAAATAATTTAGCGACAAGCTAAATTATTTATTAACAAAACCTAGTGATATAAGCATTGTTTACATAGATATAATTATTGCTTTATTAAATGGGCGTTTACAAATTTTATTTTGAGAGAACGCGCGCACCGTTTAAAAAAAAAAATTGTGAAATAATAATATAAATAGTAAGAATAAATTTATTCCAGTCGAGCTCATTCAAAGACTATGCACTTTAGCAAGATAGAAACCAACGTGAAGGTTGGTAGTAATTCGATCTTCAGATCTCTTGGTTCTGAGCTAAAACTCTAAACACTGAGTTACCGCTGCACTTATAATAATAGAAATTATAATAGTTTCTACTCTAAAACCATTGTTTTTGAAAAGCTATTTTTATTTGAGTTAAAATGGTACAAAAGTTTTCTTCAGTAGGGTGTTTTGCTGGTTAATGTGATTACTATGTTTGAAATGTTTGTAATAAATAATTAGTTTTGTTTTTTGAAAGTTTGATACATTAATAATAGTTTTCTAAATAAGTATCATTTTTGCAATCGTAAGTAGAATCATCGAATCTTATTTGTTAATCGATGGTTGAATAATCATTATCTTATTGACTGCATTTTTTTTTTCAATATTTAAACCTGGTGTTTCCTAACTCTATTTTATATAATTTATTAAACTTCTTTAAGAAATGCAGTTTTCGGAAATCTCATTTTTTATAGATATCATAAGAAAAAAATTATAAAATAAACAGTTTTTATTTGGTATGTCATAATAATTTCTCATTCGTTTGTCCCAGGTGCGGGCTTAGCCTTTTAAAGAAGTCAGTCAAGAAATGGTAGCGGATTAAGATATATTGGGGGTAGGGAGGAAGGAGGTTATGAAAAGAATTCAAAAAACTTCCAATAAACTACTTGGTTAAAATCTAATTTTAAAAAAAGAACGCTTATTAAAAATAGTACCACAATACTCTAAATTTAATACACCGTTTAAATAGATGGGGCAAGATAGCGGATGTTTTAAAAACGCTGAGTTTTGGCAAAACTTTCAGTCATGAAGCAATTATACATTATCATTATAATTGTTTTACCATAACTCATTGCCAGCATGAGTTTTCGGTTTGCAAGTATGAAAATTTGTAATAAAAACTTGTACGGAAAAGCCATCTGAATAATGCCAAATGAATAAGTTGTACACTCTCCTTAATAAAAATATGCCGAAACTACTTTTACTTTCTCCTTTTTTATAAGTTATTATTTGATCAAATTAAGTCTACATTGGATAAATTTTTTGATATTGTAGTTTATTCTCCTCCGGCTAATTGCCATATAAAAACCACATACCTTGGCACGCAAAAATAAGCTCAGCTCACCAAAGAGTATCATACCCTGCTTCGACGAACCCTCAGCTCTGTTACCCTGCTTCGACGAACCAAGATTTAGTGCTGATTAAGATTAATATTCAAGATTAAGCAAGAACAGAAGTTAATTAAAGTAAAGGTTAGAAGCAGTTAGAAATATAGAGTCAGCCGACAGACATTATACTGAATGTTAGAACTTTTCATCAAGTTTTTTGTCATCTTTGTAGATAAAATTAAAAAATGGCTCAATGGTTATTTTATCAAGATTAACATTGAGCAAACATTTAAACTTTTGATTGCAGTGTTAAGAAATGTCTTATAAGTTGAAACAAGAAAATAAGCGAAGAGGGTTTATTACCGATACGCACTTCATTCAAATCATTTTAAAACAAACAAGGTTTGTTTTAGGATGTTTGAGAATGCTACATTATTTTGGTGGCTGTGCTAAAAATAATAAAAATATAAAAAGACATACACTGCGTTACTACAATAACATTATTACCATTTATATAACAAAAATTATAATTATTATAAAAATTATTAATATAAAAATACAACATAGTAACACAATATAGCAATAACATGAAATTTAACGCCTAATATCGGCTAAAAAAATAAACCGATTTTCTATGTCGCCAGTATACAGATTTTACCTTAGTTATCTTGAATTCAATTTTTTTCCCCTCAACTGTTGACTATTGATTAATAAACTTCATACCATAAAAGTTTATTAAATTAATAACATATTTCAACAGTTTCGCTAACTAAACCAAAATAATGGTATATTATAAACATATTTCAACAGTTTCGCTAACTAAACCAAAATAATGGTAAATTATAAACATATTTCAACAGTTTCGCTAACTAAACCAAAATAATGGTAAAGGGTAGATCTGTAGAAAAGGTAGAACTAAAAATCACACAGAAAAAATATTTAATAAAATGTATTGTTTAAATTTATAAAAAATCTTTAATTTATGCGTGACATTAAGTTTAGCAAATACAGCAACATCGTCGTTGCTGCATTCGCAAATCTTGGTCAAATCACACTAATACAAAAAAAAAAAAAAATCTATTTTAATATATATTTTTAAAAATATGTATAATTTCCTAATTTTTTGATTAGAAAGTTAAAATAAAATAAATTTTAGTGAAAAATTTTTAAAAATTGAAAATTCACATTACCAGAAATGCATATCAAAAGGGTGGGCGAATGCACAGACACCTACCATTTTATTTACAAACTCAGAATGAAAATAAATCTCATAAAATACA